CGTCCTACCACGTCTCGACTCAGAATTTTTCTCTAGATTTCTCTAGACTAGAGCAGAGCGCTCCTTTCGGAGCTCCTCGGGGGGTTGGTCAAGTTTTTAAAACCCACCCCCCCCCGAATGGGGGGTTAGTTTAGTGTCTTACTCAAGTAATTTGTCAAGTCATTTGTTTACTCGGCATTGTTGTGTTGGTACAACAATGCCGAGTAAACAAATAAACGTAACATAGTTTGATGACGTAATTTTTTGATAGACGACAAATCACAAATTTTTATAAGGAGATTCGCTTTTAAGTGTCTGGAACTCCCTTTTCGTGTTCGGGAAATCCAGGGTTTGGTTCGTGACCCAAACGCCGTCGGTGTCCGGACAGTGTCGTCGTTTTATCAGCCCCTTCAGGGAAATTATGGAATAGACCACGATATTTTCACCTCCTCTTCAAATGTTCATTCCCTAATCACCATCAGATTTAACGCCATGCAGGCGTTGAGACCGTGTTGTTAAATGAGCGAAGAAACGAGTTGATACAGCGTCATATAACCGAACAGGCGGTGTAAGCGTTTGTCCCGTGTGACGTAAACTTATTCCATATTCGGAAATTAGACTTTGAGGTCCTCGACACTCGCGGTCGGATGGCTTCGTCGTCTCGCGATGTTTCTTGCCCACTCCTTGAGATGAAGTGCGCTGGGGCCGAGGCGTTGTGAAACGTGAAAGGGTGAAAGGAGGCTGACATTTCTACGAAACACTTGTACTTATACGTCCGCACGTAATATCTTTGCCATAAGTTTCACAGGCCGCATCTGTTTCAAGTTTTTGCGAGCTAGCAGTCATGTATCCGTCTCGGACTTCTGGAAATGTTATTTAAGTATTTAATAAAATGAAAACATTCCTTCAAGTGGTTTAAATGTCTCAGTGCTTTTAAAAACCAAATTAAATAAATGTATCTTAGGATAATGCTCATTGGCGGTCTTTGCACTGCGGCAAGGGGGCAATTTTGAGGACGGTCATGATTCGATGTGTGTCAAGTCCGTTTGTTAGTTACCCTGGTCACTGTCAAATGTCAGCTGATCATAAGTGACGTGTTTCTTAACACAGCTGCTGGAAGCCATAACAACTGACGTAACGCTGTGTTTGAGGCGAACTCTGGGTAATTTGTAGGTATTGAGGTTTTCACGGCGGTGTCCGAAGATGGCTGTCTTCTGGGTTGTTGCGCCGTGTAGTCTGGTAGAATTTTACGGACGTTTCAGAGGTCTTTGCCGCCTCCATCTTCAGGGCGATGAATGGTTTGTTCTGTTAACAATAATTTCTTGCCTGAGTAAAAAAAAAATCGAACGACGGATGCAGCGTTAGAAAGAATGGGTTAGGGAACTCCGGTATGTTTCTCTATTAATTTTTGGGTAATAGTCTCACAAGCAAAGCGACGTATGGCAGAGGATTTTCCCTCTAGACCCTGCGACCGGACCGGCTCTGGGGCCCGCCCAGACTCCTATCCAAAGGGTACCGGGGTCCTTTCCCGGGGGTAAAGTGCGGTCCATGCGTGATGCTGACCACTCACCCCCCCCCCCAGAGAGAGAGAGAAATTGGGCGGGACATATAACATGCGTGGAAATTAGAAATGCTTACAAAATTTTTGCTAGAAAATGGAAAGAAAAGGGGGCAGATGAGAAAACCATGCAGAAATTAGATGGAAATATTAAAATGGATCGCAAAGAAATAATTTTGGAGCGTGGACTTATTTCAGTTTGCTCAGGATACAGTCTGTTGCGAACTCTTGTGAAGAATATAATGGAATTTCTTGGCTCGCTGAGGGACTATCAGTTTATCAAGGGACAGTCTGGTCAGGTTATGCAATGCCCTGTTTGTAGCTGATTGGTCTTTCAGACTGGAGTGAGCTTAGATTTCCACTGCTCCTAACGATTTTGAATGCCTGTGGGTTCGGTCATACCTGGTGCGCCTTGCGTACATAAGGCGTACCAAATGGCAGCCCATTTATGTACGTACGTACTTCGTCATTACCAAGGAATTCTGCTGCCTCCTGTCACAAACACTTACGAGACCTGCCTCCGTGTCTCACTTAACTCCCGTGCGTTCCTTTGAGTAATGTTCTACGTTACAAGGGTCACGCGTGTTGTTCGTGAAAGAACCGCGGTTTTCTGCTTTGAGGACAGTATATGGGTGGCTTTTTTTTCCAATAATTAATCATTCGTCGTGGCTCGCCTTGAACTTTTTGAACCTCGGCGACTTTCGGTTGAACTTGCATGTGATATGTTTCAGCTACAAGTGTGAAGATGGTATTTCGCCGTGTAGTCTGCTAGATACTGGCCGACGTTTCAGAGGTGTTTTACTGTCTCCAGCCTTGATGATGGTGGCAATAAACTCTCTCGAAACGTCGGTAAGTTTTTACGAGACGCAACGTCACAGAGGACAGACATCTTCATTAAACCCTTGCAGTTATGATCATTTAATAACCAACTCCATGGAGCAGAGTCCTTCCTGAGAGAAGATGATAGTTTCTCAGCTAGTCAAAAATTCCCTGTCTAGAGGGTATAATGGCGAGGGATGGGCTGCTATTTCATACCTCACGCCCGAAGATTTAAACCTAGGAATAATATTAAAATGAAGCTGATGACGTGCACGCAGATCACGGAAGGCGTCGCGTGTTGTTGACAGCTGGCAATTTAGACACGGCCTATTTGTTCCCCGTCGCTTCGGGAAGCTTCTATTACTTGATTAATATTTCATAGAGGGCTGTGGATGATGACGCAGGAAGCGGTAGTCCTGTCTAATAGTAACAGAGATTAGTGGGTGTGGCTTAAAACATGTAGTCGGTGGCCCCATCAGCTACCACGACACACCTGGTTATTGGGCGTCGCTGGAATACGAAGGGCTCCTAACAATTATCTTTACGTTCGGTTATTAAACGTCTCTGCCCCGTGGCGCCACTGCGCGTAATTAAGACTGCGTGATGTCGACGGGAAGTGGAAGCGGTGGAGTATTTTCGTTCCAAAAAACATCAATTTTGCTTATAGTCGAGGCACTCCTCGCCTTTTAAGGAACCAAATATTTCTTCACTGTATTCACAAGACCCCGTGGCGGGGTCTTATCCTGAGCGATACGAATCCAGTCCACAACAAATTTCTTTAAGACCCATTTTAATATTATCTTGTCATAAATGATTAGTCCTTTTGAAATTTTACGGCTGACGAGTTCTGTGTTTAAGTTATTGTTTTAATTTCTTCACAGCGTGTCTTTAAATTATGCAGATTGGTAATTAGTGTATAACGAACGCTTAAGAACAGATCGTGTCTAAAGGCAACGCCGTGTTAAATGACGCCCTTCGGAGACCGCGGTTTTGTTTTCAAGAGAGACACTTCAAAGAGTGTGAAATGATGAGCAGTTCATCTTCACAGATGAGAAAACCGCATACCTTTGCCATGTTTATCCACGCCCTTGTGATGTAACGCAGAAACGCAAACCGACATTACGTCACAGGCGAGGAGAATGATTTTTCTTTCATTTGTTTAACTACGCTCTGTTAACGTCAATCCTGAACAAAGTTGTTACCATTTATTCTGGTGTATTACAGTGCCTTAGTAAGATGTGTATAAACATTTGCGAACAGACGACAAGGGGAGGTCCTCCAGCGTGATGATTGGGGCTGGTACTCACAACCATGTACGGCCAGATATTCAGTATCGACAGACCTTTGAAAGGGCTTGGGAGTACAGCGGGTTTTTTTTCGAATGCCTGGACACGTGAATTGTTGAGATGTCAGAAGTTTGTACTGAAGGCGGTAAGTGATAAGCTGTTCACTTGGTTTGTCAACTGCTGGAAGTTAGGGCGGTAAGTTTAATCAGAAAATGTTAATTTTTGAGGGACATATCAACGACTGGGCGGAAAAGTGTCGGAGAGAGAAATAGAATAAAATAACACACCCTGTAGACACAGAAATTAAATGATTTTTGATTTTCATACACACGAAAGGAATAATAGTCAAAATTAGTAAATCAGTAGATCACAAGAGGACAACGCGGAGGTAGGAGGAGGACGACAAAAAGTAGGCTTGGTCATTGCAGGGGTCGGACGAGGAATTTGTATTTGCGGATTACGTAAACATTGAACCTGATCAAGTGGAAGTAAGAAGTGGCGTAACTGAAGACAAGTTTTAGTGTTGACGGGGGTTTCGAATGGACGTTGTTCGTGGTTTCGTTACCTAGAAGTCATGTCGTATTTCGATACTTTGTGGTTATTTGGTATTGATAAGCGCATCAGTAGAAGTTTGCCGTGTAATTTGCGACTGTCCATCAACCAGCGATCTGTTAATGATTGCGTCGCTTAAGGACGAAAAGGAACAAACAGACTCGATGCTTTCAGGCACCAAAGTGCGAGTCTGAATGCCTGTCAGTAGGAGAGGAAACTGACGTAGATCTTGTTGTGTCTGATATTGGAAGCCTGATGTACGAGAAAAATGCCGAGGAGATAACACAGACTAACTTGCAAGGGGCAATGGAAATCTGGCAGGCGTGACGAAACGTCCGCATTGTACATTTTTATTTACAGTTTATTTAACGACGCTGCTTCAGTAGCTCAGACTGTGCAGCGTCTAATGTGAGGATGTCGGTGAACGATGAATTGGAAATGACGCAGTGAATTAAAGAGAGAGGGAAATGAAGCATCCGAAAAGAGATTCCTGAAGAAGTGAGGTTGTTGAAGGACGAAATGGAGATTGTTGATATTGTGACGTACGCGTTTTATCAAATGCCACTGTCTCAAGGAGACTAAAAAAAAAATTCAAAATGCAAATTTTTTTCTGGTAAGGGGAGATTACTGAACAAGAAAAAGTCGAAAAATTGCGCAGATAAATTTATGTGAAGAAATGTCAGACGGTGTTGTGGTCTGGATGTGTGTACAATGCAGGTAATACGCGACCGACGGCTACCCTAAACGAACCACGAATAAGTAAATAAAGTGTCGCAGCTTGTTAAGGGCTGTGTGTTGTCTTCCAGGGTGTTGGTTGGTGCCCCAGAGGAGCAGACAAATCAACCTGGAGTCGAAAAAGGTGGCGCTGTGTACAGGTGTGACGTGAGGAGGGACAACGCTTGCCAAGAGGTGCCCTTTGACATCACAGGTAGGTGCCAACTACCCTCTTTGACATTTCTGTCCTTGGTGAGTTTTCAGATTCTCATGAAGATGGCTGTCTTATAGGATATTGTGCCATGTAGTAGTTTACTGATGCTTCAGAGGTGATGATGGAGGCAGCAAGCACCTCAGACTGCACTGCGCGGTTCATTGTTGATCTACTTTGCCGTCAGCAGCGACCGAAAGGCGCTAGACCTTGAAACAGAAGACACGAAAGAGACTCCTTCATTTGTTGCTTTTGAACAACTAAACCAGGGAGCAATACCGGGCTAAGTCACACGTTATTGAAACTGAGGCAGACGGAGAAAGCCTTTAACATGATTGACGCAATGATAGTGCTCTTTTGGGTTCTGGCTCCGTGTCGACTGGCTGGTAGATGCCAACGTTTAGGAGAAAAGTAGTGTTTCCATCTTCAGGTCTGAGGTGACGATGTTTTGAATCAGAAGGATCACATATTGTGGCAGGAAGAGGAGCGGTCTGTATGTACCTCGTTCCGTCATGATTGGCCCTTTAACCTTCCGACCTGCCACCCTATATAACTCGTCTCATTCCCACCATCGTCACTTTAGCCCTGAAGATGGAGACAGTACTTTTCTACGAAACGTTGGCATCTATCGACCGGTCCACACGCCGCCAAAGCCCGGGAAGATCATCATCATTATCATCACCGCAGTGAAAATCTCAGACCGCACGTTTTACCTAGCTCTAGAACCGTTTCCTTCCAGATTCTTTCCAGTTTCACGAAACATCGTATCACCCGATGCGATATAGTCTCAGCGTCATTAAATAATATTTGTTTGAATACTTAATGGGGCGAAGCGCTTACTGGTCATATCGAAAACCCAAATGGGGCGAGGCGACACCCCACACCCCATTTCCAGCGAGTCGGTTGTTGGGAAGGGACGGAGAAAGCCCTCGGTCTCAATTCAGGATCTGGGGTCATTGCTTGTTACATCGACAGAAGTTGCTTTTGTCCGTGGCGAATTCTTTTTGCTGTATGTGATTATACGAGAGGTCAGTGCCCTCCCTGCACAGATCTAATAATTTATTTATACCACTCAGCGATTTCTTTTACTGTCTCATGCGCGATCGGTTGGATTCCTAATCATACTTATTCTGTTTTTTTAACTACTTTGCGCGTAGTCCTACCGAAGCGATTTCAAATGTTTCCACGACATTAAACAATAAACAATTTGTTGGCTCGTAAAACAGGAATGCGAAGCGTGCTAAGCGATCGGCATTGACAGAATGTTCTTCGCTGTCCTTATGAAAAAAAAATCCCCTGGAATGACAAATTAATGGTTGCGATTAAGTTACATGTTTGAATTCTGCAAACTATTCCTGGATTCTCCTTCATGCGGCGATTAGGCCCTAAAAAACTGGACACTACTTAGCAGCATTTCTTCTCAAAATACATAAAATTATACAGAGTGGAACAGGATCGTTGCAATAAAACAGTAGGAGCAGGTTCTGTGGAAGTCCGGAGAGGGGAGATATTATTAAAATGAATGTATCGGCGTAGTTCGGCCGGGTAAAAACTTTTGTCTGATGTATTCAAATTTCAAACGAGGCAACTTTGTTCCAACTGCTTTTTTCCTTTCAAGCCGAAGCTCGTCCAAATAACATTAAGAATTCAGTCCGTACCGCGAAGAAAACACAACTCTTCACCATTACAAAGATGAACTGGTTAACGCTGTTTAAGGAAATAATCACGGTTTACTCTGAGAATCATAGTTCGTCTGATTAATATTTAAAAAACTCAGTCCGTACCGCGAAGAAAACACAACTCTTCACCATTACAAAGATGAACTGGTTAACGCTGTTTAAGGAAATAATCACGGTTTACTCTGAGAATCATAGTTCGTCTGATTAATATTTAAAAAACTCAGTCCGTACCGCGAAGAAAACACAACTCTTCACCATTACAAAGATAAACTGGTTAACGCTGTTTAAAGGAAATAATCGCTCTTAATAATGAAAATCATACCAGAGAGAGAGAGAAAGAGGAAATTGGTGGGGGGAGAAGTGAGAGACACTTCGATATCTGGTGGGGAGAAAGAGCATCTTATAATTAGAAGGTCCCCAGGCAATGCCCGCTCGTCCTTCTGTTAAGGATAAAGTAAGAGTGAAGGCGTTGGGGTGATGATTGGCATAAAAGACGGAATTTTGAATTTTGTATTAGAGAAAGCTGAGGCTATTAATTTGGAAGTTTGGAACATAATTTAGAAGTTTACTGTATGGAGAATGGATGAAATGTGGTCCTTGTACGTCAATTTTGAATCTAGAATGACACCCAGATATTTGGTTTCGGAGGTAAAAGCTACGGTTTTATTAAAAAAATTTACGGTGGGAACAGTGCAGCGATAGTCACGTAAACGTTTTGAAAACACCGTTGTGGTGCACTTGTCAATGTTGATCTGAATTCTCCATCTCCGAAACCAGGGTTCGAGAAGGCCTATTGCTCTGTTTAATTTCGTTATCGCTATGTCTAATTTTCCTGAGCGAGCACTGATATTTGTGTCATCTGCATAGATTGAGATGGACACGTTGGAGTCATTCTCAATGGATGGGATGTCATTTATGTAGATGTTAAAAAGTGTTGGCCCGAGTAGGCTACCCTGGGGAACGCCGGCCCTGATGGGGCGGCAGCTTGAGTGAGAGCTCCCATGTGAAACAGAAAATGAACGGTTCTGGAGGTAACTGTGAATTACGTGGATTAGGTGAGGCGGAATTTTGACTTTAATGAGTTTTGCTATTAGCCCCGTGATCCAAACTTTATCAAATGCTCGTTCTATGTCCAGGAACAATGCCACTGTGGCTTTCTTATTGTTAAATCCGTGAGTGATTCTCTCTATATTTCTTAATAGTGTGTGCGTTGTGGAATGTCCACGTTTAAAACCATACTGGTCATTTCTGATAATGTGGAGCTCCTTAAGTTGAAAATTTAGTCTTTTCAAGATGATTTTCTCAAAAACTTTGCCTAGGGAATTGCTGGTTTAATAGTCAAGGCATTTAGTCGAAGATCGTCTAAATATTATTTAAGAATTCAGTCCGTACCGCGAAGAAAGCACAACCCTTCACCATTACAAAGATCAACTGGTTGACGCTGTTTAAGAAATAATCGCTGTTTATTCTGAGTATCATATACGAAACACATAAATATACTGTGTGGGAAGAATGCAGAGTTATTGAAGGTTAAATAAAGTACGTGGTACATATAGTTACCACATTACTTTGTAACCTTAAAATCCGTAAAATAATTGACGATAATACCCGTTTTGGAATCTGTTTTAGAGACTCCAATCCACTTTTTGTTATTGGACGGAATGTGAATTGTGGATTTTCTCATGTGGGTTTCTTCGAGTGTCCTGACATCGTCGCTCGAGAGGAGCTTTAATTGCAGCCTCAAGAGACGCGCCTTTTCGTCTTGGCTGTGGACGGACGGACAGACAGTTAGTTCCTCGCTAAACCGTATATGTGGGGAGATGGATGTCTCGCACTGCACAGACTATATCCATCTGCTTCGTGTTTTCTCGGTATCAATATAACGCCATTCATTTCTTACCAGTATCTTGAAGGATCTTTCGACTGCCATCAACGTTTTTGGCTTTGGATTTTTTTTTCTTTTTTTGTATTTTGTCTTGGGTTTCGGACTTCGTAAAATAGTAGATGTTCATCTGAGTAACCAGCCGCGTCCATAAATCAACACATGATTTATTGCACGTGCTTAGAAGTAATGTCTGTAAATATCACACGTGAATGACCATTAATTCTTCAGATATGTTGCAATGGCCTTTCAGCCATCACGTGTTGCTCTTCGGATCTCTCTAGCTTGCGATCATGTTTCCGTCTGCCCTGCCTCGTTGGTTGTTCGAGGTTCTCAAGACGTCGAGTGCAAAGGCTGTCTTCTGCGATGTTGCGCCGTGCAGTCGGGTAGAAACTAAGAAGGAGGCGCTAATTGCCTCCATTGTTACTCATCGTCCTAATCACGTAGACAGTAAACACCTCTGAAACGTCGATAAGTTTCTACCAGATCGCGTCACAACATCCCAGAAGAAAGCCATCTTCAGGGAGTGTTATTATCGTTGACGTTACATAAAAAGTGTTCTCCGCACTTTTCATAACAACTCACCACTGCTACTAAGTCTGTACTAGGCTTGAACATTTGGAAGAAGTGTGATCTCTGCACCGATCAATTAGCTTTTTCATCAGCGCATTTTGAAGGCCAATGTAGCCCGTAAAATCGGGAACTTTGCACTCGAAGCTTTATCACTGGCTTTATATCGACGTATTTATGATTGTCCGTCTGTTTATGTTTGCTTGCATCTTGGAGGCAGTGTTCATCACAGCCTTCCCTTGGCCGTGGGAAAAGGCTTTTACCCTTTAAAGCGGAATGGTAATTATATGCACCACCTACTTAAATAATTAATTACTCTTAATTTTGTATTTATGTGTCTCGTATGATTCTCACTATAAACAGCGATTATTTCCTTAAACAGCGTTAACCAGTTGATCTTTGTAATGGTGAAGAGTTGTGTTTTCTTCGCGGTACGGACTGAGTTCTTAAATATTATTTATACGAGCTTCTGCTTTCAAAGACCTACCAGCCGCAATTCTTTGTGTCCTTTTCACTTAACTCAGCCATTTTAAGTCGCATTTCATCTGAGTTTTCATTTATAAAATGTGTCTTACGGTACTTAAGTTCGTAGCATTCGTCTGATGTTTCTTGTTATCATTTCAACAGACGTTCTACGTCGTCTTGTAAGAGCGACTGTGAAATGTGTGTGAAACGCGAAGCAGTAATCTCTGAAGTGGTCGTAGCCTGCCTTTTATTCCCAGTTGCCGTCGACCATTTTTATCGAGCACTACGACCCGACACTTAGTGTTTCAAGAGTGCTCGAGTTTCAAAGTATTTTTGTGGTCAGATAATGTATAAAAATGTGAATGGGCCCAAATTGGGTGGTGCCAGGAGCAAAGTGGACTCATTTT